AGCTTGACGCTTTCTTCTTATCTGAGTTTGGGTTAGATCGTACCTTCTTTCCAGGAAGTACACCGCTGTCAATTATAGATCACAGCCGTTCTAGCTGATCATTGCTTGATGAAAGGGTGACAGTTGTTTTTTGAGAGCCATCAGATTGACTATCAACGCCGCTACCACTGCCTAATGTATCCATTTGTTCTGGTGTATTTGCGTCGGCTTGTGCAGTGATTTGTGAGGATGAGTCAGAAGATGAGATCGGATAAAATTCTTGAGTTGCGACTGATTTATCCGATAGAATTGAGTCTGATGGAGATGGAGCTCGGAATGTGCTCATACAAACAAATGATGGACAGCTAGGAGGGTTACAAACAAATACTTGCACTAGTTGTGTAAAGAGGAGATAAAAAATTTATTAAGGGACGGTACGTCAGCTTCTCGCAAACATATGTCGAAAATGATATTTATTTTCTGTCTCGAGGGAAAATAACCTATATGGGATTTACCAAATTATAAAGACTACGCGTCGGAGGGCAAGACTGAACGCCTGTACGCGGTGTCCTCTACAAACCTGGGAGTGAAATATTCTCCCAGAGCCAAGTTCAGTCAAATTTCGCAATACCAAAGAAGTTGGCCCACGAGGCAACGATTCAAAATACTCCACCATGTCAATCTTTCTCTCTCAAGGAGTCCGACCCATACCTAAACCTCATCAAGCCAACAAGTACGACCTTGTAGATCCTCATTCCAACGATCACACCTCTCGTCGACTTTCTCTTGCCACAGCTGGACGCCAAATACACGCCCACGCTGATATTTACAGCCGACGGAGGAAGCAAAGCGTGGCGCACAAATCTGGGAGACAGATCGTTGGAATTGGCGTGAGAGGATTCCGGACAAGTTGGTAAGATGATTCGAAGGATGGATAAAGTCTCGACGGGCGTGTAATTTTGAATTTTGGCAAGGGGTTTTTATAAATTGAGCTTTGTGCATGACGATACTTCGCTTGCGAGAGTGCAGGCGACACTATAAGCACCGCCAATGTTGGATGTTGCGGTGGTACATCGTCTTGGCCGTTCTTCTAAGTAGAGTGAGGATAGCTTGGAAACATGTACCACTCAAGATAAGAGATCGCTGGTTCGAATCCGGCAAAACACAACCACTTATCTCGCGGCGCTGGTATGCATGAATGATGAAGGTTTGCTTGGATAACTATAGGTTATGAAACGTCCCTTTGGTGAGTACTCACAGAGGAGGAATGAGTGGTCTATGTTAATAGACAAACCTCAGAGTGGTATTTGCGAATGAAATCCAGAGTATGAGTGTCTCTAATTTCAAAATAGTCATCCAATATGTATACATAGCACCAGTCATGTGTCATAGTTCTATAGCTGAACACACATTAAAGGGGTTAAAAAATAGAAAAATAATTATTATTATAGTTACTTCAGTTCTGCATATTAATGAAGACATCTCTCCACGAACTATCTTAGCTGTTCCAGCGCAAGTGTTCATTCCAAAATCATATACTAATCATAATAAGTTTGTCTATGGGCCGTACATCCAGTTCGGATAAGCCCTTGGCTATGTAGATCTTTTCAGGATCCACACCCTGCATGAGAGCCTACTTGGCGTTAAATGAAAACTCTCTCACTATATTCTAACTTCTAACACTCTATGTATTATCTTAGAAATGATGATAAATTAGTATGATGAGTATGGAGTTACCTATTAAGGAATGGCGTTAGGAGAGAGGGATAACTACTGTATATACGCGTTTCCTTGAGTTAGAGAGACAAAAATGAAGATGCATGTTAACCACCAATTGTTACTACTGCTACAGAAAGCTTTTGATATAAATACCACCAGAGTATTCCGACAGAAACCTATCGTCTGAAACGACTACAGTTCCCTCAGAAACGAGGTAGGGACCTAAATATACCTTCGTAGCCCTCACCCGCTTTTACAGACAAAGATGTGAAGAAGCAGGGGAATTCAGGTGGCTAGAACACAGACCGAGCCGCTACGAGGAGTTGGATCTCCGAATGAAACGAAAACATTCAACGGAGTTAGCACTTCCGAGGTGGACGCATCACCGCCTGGTCGCAGCAAAGACAGGATATGGCAACTTCAGAAACTACTATGAAAGGTTCAGCCACGAGTTTGGAAACTGCAAACGCGTGTGCGGAAGAGAGAAACATCCTTGGCATTTTGCCGAATGCCGGATTGCTCTTCAGAAATAAAGAAACTAGGAATATAAGCCTCCAGAGAGACGACAGGAAATGCTGGCAAAAAAGGGGTTGGAAAGATTTCTTAAGTTCTTAACAGTAACCAAATGTTGTGAGAGGCTGATCCCACACCGAGAAAGTTAAGTACTGCCGATGTAGAATTTTCACAGGACAAAGGGTTGTGAGGAAGGAGATAAGGCGCAGGGCGCTTATTTTCCTTGAAATTGATTCATTATTTATGTTTTGCGTATAGATTTGACAAGCAAACTATGTATTTAGGTTGAAGTGTGTCCTCAGAGAGGATAGACCCGTATCACGCCTCTTGTGGCTGTCAAATATTAGACACTAGAATGAAGGCGTAATGCAGGGCACTAGAACTTTAGAAATGTTGGTTTATCTGTTTTTGGTTTTGTGTTTCTGGCTCCTATAAACCAATCGTGTTGGTAGTGATAAGTTAGATAGATCTGAATTACCCATTCTATGTCATCTGTGTGCTGGGATAGTACCTGGTCACGAGAAATATCGTCATCATCTTCGTGCTGCCACGGGTAGTCGAGAATTCCGTAGACTTATCGACTATAGAGGCTATCCTGGCTAAGGTTAGATACAATCTCGACCTTGCAGGTATTACAGTGATTACATTAGGTTTACATTATAGTCCCTACCGAGTCGGAGATTATGAGGGACTTTGAGAATCTTACCAAAGGCTTTATTTAAATTTACTAAATCTATAATTAAAATATATTTGTTTTCATAGATATTGAGGGTCAAACCCTAGGCTCTATGGTGAGAGCCGGAGGTTTGCACAAAAAACTGTTGATAAATTTTGTTTCTTAGCCCAGTGATCATTAGTTATTCTTTGTTGCTATTTATTTCTTGGAGTCGACAGATCCGATCCTTTTGTGCGAAAGGTTCAAAAATTTGCGTTTAGAACCTAGCCATTCTCGACTTCTTTTCTGTCTCCAAAGACGACCCATACTTCAAACCACAACGGAAGGACTATTTTCAACACCTATCAGTGGTGTTCCTTACGAGCCTCCAGATCTCACTGTAGAGTTTAAAGAGCCGAGATTGAGTAACAAAGTCCTCACTTAGACGAGGATTCTCATTCGCTTTCGCCGTCTTTATCGTCTTCATATATAAACGCATCCCCATATCTCCACTATCATGAAGCTAACCACCATCAGATCAGATGGTAGGGTCGAAGCCCAATCGTCACCAACCCTTGATCATGGAGGAGGAGCCATCCGATGAGTTTCCGGGGCGTACCTAGCACCCGATACGGAGATGGCGGATTGGATCAAGTCGACCTCGACTGTTACAAAGAAGAGAGATGTAGATGAATATGCGCACCTCATGTGGTCCCGGTGTCTAGGCCTCGCCTGGCTGGGGCTGCAGGTTTTTTGAGACTTTTTCCCGCGCACGCAATTACCAATGCTACCACTTTTATTCTATCGATAGAAAGTTCCGGGGAAAAAGTGTCTGATTCCCATGGGTAAAAACTGAGCTGAACGGCTACTCATCACAGGCAACATACCAGTTATCTTACAAGTAACAAAAGAGGATAGAAGTACTGTACGAGGTGTGGCCTTGGTCAGGGAGCTCAAATTTCTACATAGTCATGGACTTAAGTAGTACAATAAACATAACTAATTCTCTCTCAAACCACAACGGAAAATCCTATCCGTCTCAGGCACGGTATGCCCGAGTTTGAGACACATCGATTATCCAGAACTATCACTTCCTTTCGAGACCTAAAGGTTGTTCCAGATCAAATTGAAAATGTGACATTGTATTGTTTTCATCACTGAGGTCCTCAACTCGACTGCTAAGATCCTATCTGATCGGGTTCTCTTCTTGATTGTCAACCCTAATAACAACTCCTGTTTCCATCAATATCCTCTGGATTTTGATTTGCACATGTGATGTAGAGTTGATTCGCGTAGACGATTAGATAGTATTAGGAATACACGTACAATTTCGAGCTTTAGAGCTGGAGAGAAGATATGTTTTTAAGATTTTAGTTTGATAATTGCATTCTGCGGAAGTAGGTGTAGTAAAGCCACGAGTCACATTGTTATCAAACTGTTTTACTTGTGATCGATCAGAATACGCAACTCTACTGATTAAGATATTTGAAACCAGATGATAAAGCGATTTTACAAATTGTTCACAGCTCTAACAATATTATTGTGCTTCAAGGTGCAAAGTAGTAAGGGGTTACAGTAGTGATAATTGTTGATGCATCGTTCATACCCAGGCCAAGCTTCGACCAATTAAAAATAAGCCGCAATGACTAACTTCATTTGAGGGGTTTGCGGGGCTGTCATACCCCCACTGCTTCATTCTTCGTCAAATATCCCTAGATCATATCCATAACGAAGTACCTAGATGAATATGGCACCGATTCGCCTTTGTAGACGTCCATATTTCAGCCTCTGGAGCATGATGATTGATAAAATATACAATGATGCCGCAGATTGATCAAATGTTATCCCCATCCTTTGTTGATAATTACGAACACTAAAAAGATGTTAATTTCTGTAAATTTTACTATTTTAACACAAATGCGGATAGCCCTGCTCGAGATTTAATAGGCCACTTTTGCCCTGGAAAAGAGCAGGTAAAGAGCAGGGTAATACAAATGCTCTTTGGCAAGCTGTCTTTAAAGCATACAGGTGTATTTATCTTCAACCCACACATTCTGAAAAGTATCATTACTTCAATCTAGCCCTAGCATTATTTGTGGATATCATCAATTTCAGTGGACTCCGTACCAAGAACATGTCTGAATTTTCGACACAACATGAAGATGACCATGTACAGCATGAGCGAAAGATTAATTCTATAATCGCGCCCGAAGACGTGGACAAGATTCTGTGCAAGAATGTATCAGATTTATCTATCATTGAAGATAGCTGCATTATCACACCGCGCTCCTATCAGTATGAAATGCTTGAAGAGAGCTTAAAAAAAAACATCATCTTAGCTGTGGGTTCTTTTGCTCTCCAAAATTCAGATCGGTCCTAATTGTTGTGAAAAAGATGGACACAGGCTCTGGAAAAACCCAGGTGTAAATAAAATTCATTAATCTTTTCCCTACGCCAGTTTTCCTCAGCATACATCCTTTTCTGCGGGATAGCCGAGATCTGTAAAATAAACAAAAAATATGAAAATGTCAGGATATTGAATACCTATTTAACTTGTTTGTAGAGCTATTATGCGAATGAAATATGAGCTGGAACGTATTCCACCACACAAGGCTAGTGCTATACCGTCTGCTGCAAGTAATGTTAGCTAAGATTAAATAGTTTATTTGGTTCTTAGCACCGACTGTCACTCTCAGCAGGCAGCATTTTGAGAATATAAAGCTACAGATCACATCGGTTGAAAAAAAATTCATTTGTGGTGATGACAAGGTAGAACTATGGGTAAATCAAAGTCATTGGGACTCTATCCTCCACAATATTTCGATTGTTGTTTCTACATATCAAATCCTGACAGACGCACTTACTCATGGCTTTGTCAAAATGAAAGATTTAGCTTTGATAATCTTTGATGAAGGTAGTCTTCAAGCTGAAGTGCGAAGATTAAAATTATAACTAACAGAATAAAAGCTCATAATTGTGTGGGGAACAGCCCAGGAGCAAAAATTATGAATCACTTCTATCACCCACGAAAAGCTGCCAGTAAGTATGTTCCCTGTATTCTCGGACTAACAGCAAGTCCAGTAATGGGCTCCAAAGTAAGCTCGTTGATCCAGATTGAGAAAACATTAGATGCATTGAGTCGAACACCTACCAAAACTCGAACAGCTCTACAACGATCAGTTAATCGTCCGGTCCTTTCTCAAGTACATTATGACTCCTCGATTTTTGAACCAGACTTAGTATCTGATGGTAATTTATCTATTAAACCATTGCAAAGTATCCAAACTGTGTTATCGGACTACGAAATCACAGAAGATCCTTGGTACATTCATCTATCAAAGAAAAATGATCCAAGAAGTCAGAGAGAGCTCGCCAAGCTTAAGCTCAATCAAAAAACATGGTGCTATAAGGAACTGGGAAGAATATATAACTCTGCATGTAGTGTCCATATGGAATTGGGTATTTGGGCAGTTAACTACTACTGTAAGTTTCAAGTACTGCGGTTAAACCTTGTAAGCGAGGTGTTGATAGTGCTATTTCTATATCAAGGATAGAAAATTATCATAGCCAAGCTAATTCTCTAATAGTATCTGAAGCTGTCAAAAACGTAAGGAGTCTCGGAAGTATGAACGAAAGTTTATTCTTTCCTGGAAATGATACCCTGCAGACATCTGAAAGGAATCATTTATCTAAAATCATGGGGCAAATTGAAACATACGAATCTCTTCCTCGCGACATAGTTAGTATCTCGAATAAGGTTTCCAAGGTGATTGATATTCTCCATAAGCTGCCTAGTGACTCTTCAGGTATTGTATTTGTTCAGGAAAGGGTAGTTGCCATAACTCTCACAAAACTACTTACTATTCATCCCCTTACCCGCAATCGGTTGAGGGTCGGAAGTTTTGTCGGAACATCCAACTACGAAACAAGATCTGTAAAACCATCTGAATTTATAGATAAGAGCTTACAGGCAAATGCACTATCAGACTTTAAAACTGGGAAGATCAATATCTTAATCGCAACTAGCGTATTGGAAGAGGGTATAGACGTTCCAATTTGTAATCTCGTCCTATGTTTCCAGAAACCAGCAAACCTTAAGTCTTTTGTTCAGCGACGAGGTCGTGCTAGACATGTGGAGTCAAAAATGATACTTCTCATTGACTCCTTGTGTAAAAATCAGATCACTCAGTTCGAAGAGCTTGAAATGCAAATGAAGGAAATTTACAGCGATGAATCACGTAGCCTACAAGAGCAATCAGCGTTGGAAGAAGAAGATAGTTTAACTACGCGATTTTTCCGCGTCGAAAAATCTGGTGCAGTTCTTGACTTAGACAATGCTGTCTCGCACCTGTACCATTTCTGTAACACCATTCCCACGGATAAGTTTGTTGATAGGCGTCCAGAATTTATTAATTCCAAAAAGAACGGAAAATATCGGTGCAAAGTTATTCTTCCACTTTCTGTCCACGAAACTATACGAACAGCCGAAAGCCTTCATGCATGGGGATCAGAAAAAAATGCTATCAAAGATGCCGCCTTTGAAGCATACATAGGCTTGTATAATGCAGGTCTAGTTTCAGATAATATGCTACCCGTGATGAAAGCAGATATGACGAGTGGATTGGACGCTACAATTGAAACCCGACCTAGTCTTGTCAGCGTCCGCATGCCTATGAATCCTTGGATTGATGTAGCTAGAGCTTGGACAGACAACTTGAGCACACTCTACCGATCTACAGTGACATTTGATGGGCTGAACGTTGGTCTATTTTCCCCAATTCCAATGCCAGGAATCAAGTCAATTCCTATTTATTGGGACAATGACACAACAATAAACATCTCCATAAGTGACTCTCCAACAAGCATGAATGCAGACTCCTACTTGCTGACACACCTGCAAGAGGAGACCAGTGCATTGTTCCTATCAGCATTTCCCACAAAAAATTTTTGCGTGGAAGAACTTGTCTTGAAGTTTCAGATCAATCAAGATAAGCCATTAAATTCTATGCTCGAGTGTAGATCAGTTCCAGAAAATGTCAGTACTATCAAAGACCTTGGGCTTATACGGGATCATCAAAATATAGCTTACATGTTCCGAGAGCTACTTCCTCATAAGCCCGATAGCCGCAGTGTCCGAAAGTTATTCGAAGGATACGAAAATTACCCGAGTGAAGTTTCATATCTTTCTCTTCACCGTTTACCTCGTCGGCTAGATTTTCTGCACCCAGTAGCACAAGACGCCCAACCTACTTCAGAAAAGTTATACTCATATGTATTACCTGTTCAAAACTGTAGAATGGACAGAGTACCATTCAGGGTCGTACAATTTGGTATGATGGTTCCGTGCATCATTCGACAGATAGAAATTCGTTTGATTGCAAGTAAACTTTGTCAAGAATTACTGAGCAATATTCAAGTATCCGACTTGTCCCTAGTCTTGACTGCCATCTGTGCGAGTAACGCTAACGAAGCCACTAACTATCAACGGTTAGAATTTCTCGGTGATACGGTTTTGAAAACATGTGTCTCAATTCATATTATGGCTAAAAATCCATTGTAAGTTCAATTTCTTTATCTCATCTTTAGAGCAATCGACCCTTTTTGCTCAGTTTCTTCACTACAAAAACCTATCCTGTATACGATCTAATTCTGGTGACTTTAGATGGCATGAGGGGACACTTTCGCTACAGAAAGATCATCTCGTCTCAAATTCAAGGCTGGCCCGAGCCGCCATTGAAGTTGGACTCGATAAATATATCATTAATAGAAAATTTACTGGCGCAAAATGGAAGCCTATCAATGTGAAAGATATTTTGGGAGTTTTAGAGACCGAAAGAAGAGAAATGTCAACTAAAACGCTCGCAGACGTGGTTGAGAGCTTAATCGGTGCATGCATGTTGGATGGTGGCTTTCAAAAGGCTTTAGCTTGTCTAGAAGTATTTTTACCGGAATTAAAATGGCAGCCGTTGGATGTCTGCCGAACTAGCCTTTACGATCAGGCTCCTCACATGGTGCGCAGTCCCAAACTAGAACCTGTCGAGTCTATTCTCGGCTACACATTTGAGAAGCAATCTCTCCTTGTTGAGGCTCTCTCTCACCCTAGCTACCATCTAGGCTCATCTTCATACGAGCGCCTCGAGTTTCTAGGTGACTCTCTCCTCGATTTTATAATCGTCCAAGAGATGATACCTCACAATTTATCACACATCCGGATGCATGAACTACGTACCGCAATCGTAAATGCCGACTTCTTAGCCACAATAAGTATGGAACTGCACTACTCGCGAGAAGTAAATGATATCAAGCCGAGCTATGATGCACCGGGTCAAAAAGATTCATACAAATTCGCTATTCCCACGTGTACACCACATACTCGTTACGTTAAAGTGCCTTTGTATCGGTTCATGCGACATAACTCCGTGCCTATTTCAACATTGCAAAACGAGACGTTTCAGCGCTATAGCACGATGCGTGATGAAATAAAATATGCTTTCGAGAATGGCACACAGTATCCCTGGTCGATGCTTTCTAGTCTCAAAGTGGAAAAATTCTTCTCTGACATGATTGAAGCACTTTTGGGAGCTGTGTGGATCGATTCAGGTAGCTTAACTACCGTTCGTGAAGTTATTAAGCGCATGGGAATCCTAGACCTCTTGCATCGCGCAATTGCCGAAAAAATGGATCTTGAGCACCCTAAGATACGATTGGGCAAGTTAGCCGATCAGGAGAAGGTCCATTATGTGTTTGAAGTAGGAGAGGGCGGAGCAGAGCCAAAATGCTCTATAAAAGTAGGGGAGGTGCTGGTTGCGAGTATATGCGGCGGATATAGTCGGTTTGAAATGGAGACACGTGCTGCCATAAATGCTATTGAATTTATAAAGAAAAAGAGCTGCTTTGGAGATCAAGCTGATCTGAAAGAATAAATGGGCTAGATGTATCAGGGTGCGCGCGCAGTTGAAGAGAAGTTATTGAGTGGGTTAAGCGGACTAGCGAGAACAGTTAGCATTGAATATGATGTCTTTGGTAGAGAGCGAGTGTCGGATGTTTTAAAACGCAGATTTAAGACATTGAGAGCTTTCTGATGAATTCTGGGCGGCGTGTGATGATGCTTAGTTCGAAACGACGTGAACGTGAATGATAAGCAATAAGTCTTTCAGCTATACGAGCGCAGGAGGCATGAGACAACTTGAATGAGCAGCGGGCAACATTTTCTAGCACCAAAGACTGGCAGAGTGGCTGATGCAAGCAGCGACTGCAAGACACGGGTAGCAGTAGATATCTTGCATTGCACATGCGAGAAATAAAAGAGGTGAAAAACTCAGCAGGTTGGGTTTCCAGTGAATGTGAAATCTTACCTGCAATTTTTAGAATCGCTCATAGTGAATTAAGCTGTCTAGCACCGACATGTGATCAGTAATTCATTATTTTTTAATCCTTATCTGCGTCGTGGGCTACAGAACTGACTTATGATCAGTTTCTTTATTACATGAAGTTATGACTCTGAATTTCAATCACAAGTACCATTATGAAGTATTTTTTTTTACGTAGAGCAGTCGAACTTCCGTGAATCCTCACCTAGGGAAGGGTCTAAAAACCCCAGAGTTATCCAAACATGCCTTCATCATCTATTGGCTAGTCTTCGCGAAAAATGTCACTCGAGGCTTCTCCTTCCCGAGTAGAGTAGGTGCCCAAGCTACTCAAACTATACCGGAGATTAACATCAGAAAGCACATCAGGGCATCTTCCGTAGCTGGCTTGTTTTTTTATTGTCAGCTGCACTCTTGCAATCAAGGCTCGGAGCGCTCAATGCTTCTCGATCTATAAAAAATTTTCCCAATTTTAAATTATTCACCCAGTACGAGATGTCAGCCATAATCATGTAAACCCGACCTAATTTCTCTCAAATCTATCCCAACATCGGCTTCTCACCATTATCATGAAGCTAACCACCATCAGATCAGATGGTAGGGTCGAAGCCCAATCGTCACCAACCCTTGATCATGGAGGAGGAGCCATCCGATGAGTTTCCGGAGCGTACCCAGCACCTGATATGGAGATGGCGGAATTGATCAAGTTGGCCTCGACTGTTATAAAGAAGGGAGATGTAGATGAATATGCGCATCTCATGTGGACCCGATGTTTAGGCCTCGCCTGGCTGGGGCCGCAGGTTTTTTGAGACTTTTCCCCGCGCACGCAGTTACCAATGCTACCATTTTTATTCTATCGATAGAAAGTTCCGGGGAAAAGGTGTCTGATTCCCATGGGTAAAAACTGAGCTGAACGGCTACTCATCACAGGCAACATACCAGTTATCTTACAAGTAACAAAAGAGGATAGAAGTACTGTACGAGGTGTGGCCTTGGTCAGAGAGCTCAAATTTCTACATAGTCATGAACTTAAGTAATACAATAAACATAAATCTCTCTCTCTTTGGTGGCCATCTAAGGCTGGAGGCTGATTTGACGAGGTGTGTTAATTGAAATATTATAAACCAGGTCATCCTCAAGAACTTGATGATGCCTCATTAGAATCGGTCTTTTTGGGGGTGGGAGAGTAATTTAGCGGATAGTCTTGAGGCGTTGCCTTGAGGAACATTTGTTGTGCTGAGGAATTTGACTGAACTCGATAGGGGAATAATCGTTTATGTGTGTACTTTCTGCTCCAGTACGGTAGAGAATGAATCTAGGAACTAATGAGTTGGAAACTAACAAGAGTGTAGATTGGTAACAGTTGCCAAGCAACGAAGACTGTCATGATCGGCGTCGTTAATTAAAATCCCTTGTGTAAATAGCAGGATATAGAACACATTCCTTCTCTCTGGTTCGTTACTTGACTGATCTTACTCGAGACTTGCTCTGCTGTATACCAACACCAATTGATCCGGCGACCGAACTTGGCTCGAGGATAATGCTTCACTTTTAGGCTCGTAGAGGCCACCGCGGACATGTGTTCAGTCTCAGTTCTCATTTAAAATTAGTAGCCTCTCTTTGATTCAACCTGTCATCCTTATATAAGACGCAATGGTAATCTTGTCTATCGATTCAAATTAATCAAGTGTCCGTAGGCCCTATTTATACTCCGTAAAACCCTAGGATATCATGGTCTTTATGTTTTCATATCTATGAAGTCTCCTCCCGGATCTGCCTCTCCAGATACGCACATTGAGATTTAATTCCCCTACATTATATTACTTATAATTGAATCTATTCTTATTTGAAGTCCTATTCGGTATATAATTTACAAGAACATATGGGTAGTAAGTCATATTAAGAAAGGGAAAGTGTTTTCAAGCCACAAAGCCCGCACTTTCACTATATATTTAACATGCTCAACGCTATAGATTTTCTCTGGAAAAATGTGAATAAAACTATTTAACACTCTTATCAGCCCTCGTTTGAATTGCTGAAGGCACTGACGTGTTGTGGTTGTTAGCTGTGAGGTGTAGGGCAATTATGACTCTGCTGTCTGTCTTTTTTTTTTTGAATCATTTAATGTGTATTCAGCTATCTAGCTATGACACGTGACCGGTGCTATGTATACATGTTGGATGACTCTTTTGACGTTAGAGACACTCATACTCTGGATTTCATTTGCAAATGCCACTATGAGGTATGTTCGCTTACACAAACAGTCGACCCTCCTCCGTTAGTACCCACCAAAGGGAAATTAAGAACCTTTGGATATCCAAGCATGCCTTCGTCATCCATGCATACCAGCGCCGCGAGAAATGTGGTTGTGTTTTGCTGGATTTGAACCAGCGATCTACTGTCTCAAGTGGGATATGTGTCCAAGCTATCCAGACTCTACTTGGTAGACCAGCCAAGACGATGTACCACCGCACCATCCAGCCATGGCGGTGTTTATAGTGTCGCCTGCACTCTCGCAACCGAAGTCTTGGCGCGCACAAAGCTCAATTCGTAAAAACTCCTTGCCAAAATTTAATATTGCACGCCCGTCGAGGTTAAGTCCTTCTTTCGCAACATCTTGTGAACTTGTCCTGAATCCTCTCACATCCATCCCAAAGAACAGTCTCCCAGATTTGTGCGCCACGCTTTGCTTCCTCCGTCGGGTGTAAATATCGGCGTGGGCGTGTATTTTGTGACCGGCTGAGGCCAGAGAAAGTCGACGAGAGGTGTGGTCAATGAAACGAGGATGTACTAGGTCGTACTTGTAGACTTTATGAGGCTTAGGTAGGAATCAATTTCGTTGGGAGTGAAAGATTGATATGGTGGAGTATTTTGAATCATTGCCTCGTGGGTCAACTTGTTCGGTATTGCAAAGTTTGACTGAACTTGGCTCTGGGAGAATATTTCACTCCCAGGTTCGTAGAGGACACCGCGTACAGGCGTTCAGTCTTGCCCTCCACACAGTCCCATCATAAAGCTAGATTCCCCTAGCAGTTCCTCTTGTATCGTTCAATTTGGATACCTTGCTACCAAGTGGACAGAGAGAGAGCGCAGTCACTTTTCCAAATCAGGTGTAGTCAGAAGACGATGGTGTCCAGGGTAAGTCCGCCTACTTGGCAATTAAAACCCTGACGCACTTCCCAATCAAGCATGCGCAGCCCCTACACCCCCTATATCCAACAATCTCACGAGCAAAGAGATATACAATCACTCGATACAAAGCCTCTATAACCCTGTACTGGTCCTAATACGCTCCTGAACGATACTAACAACTGGGAATTAACGCCAACACTGGGAGCTCCACAGAGCTCAAAAGCCTCAATCGCTACGATCTTGGTCGCCATCTTGCAGCTCGCTCAGGTCACGGAAACTTTGCTGACTACCACCGCCGCTTTCACCACTCGGACGCTCTTCTCATCTGCGCCTGCGGGCTAGAAAAGTCTCCCGAGCAGTTCTTCTTTTATCAACTCAATCGGAGTCGGTCCCGCCTTTGCAGCGGAAATAAATACCCAACGACGGAAATTCGCTGGATTCTAGGCTCTCCTGAAGGAGCCATAGCTTTTAGTAAATGGCTTCATGATGCCTGCTTTTTTACAGAAATATAACGACGGCACAAGCCAGAACTCTAGCCCCTCAAACCTTCACCTACATTCGCTATGGCTCAGATTATAAGAATATTGGTCTAATTGATGGAAAGCTTTCCTGTTGATATAGATAATTCTCTATTTGCTGTAGTGCAAAATAAAAGTCTTAGCGGCGGAGTACTTTTGACTTCCTTCGATAGTTCGGGGTGCATGGCAGGTAGGCCTTGGCCCATTTATAACATGTCGGGCTTATTCAAAGTATCGGTACGTCGGGTAGTTTGTATAGACTGAGCTGGCCCATATGAGACGTTACGGTTGTTTTTTTATTATTATTTTGTCCTAAGCTAATGCTATTTTTTCCACAATGGGTCAAGGACCGGTGGAGCCGGTAAGGATCACTGTATACAGGCCCTACTCATTCCAACCACGTGAAATTCCATATAAATAATGGTGTTTGATTTGATTTCATTTAGCCCGTTCAGATACCCTGTAGGCCCATGCATGTATAACTAGCTATGATATTTACACAGGAGGAAATCAAATTCGGTAAAAGGAGGACGAAGGCTGAACACCTGTCAGTGGTGCCCTCTAAGAACCTGGCAGTGAAATATTCTCCCAGAGCCGAGATTCAGTCACGAAAAAGGGTGGAATGAATTTTATTTGATTAATTTTCGACTTGAAGGAGTTGCACTCGATATTTTGGTCGAAAAATCAGTCGGCAGAGATTTCACAGCCGGAACAAAGTCGAACAAAAACTCATCACCACCAACATACGATTCACGAATGCACAAAGGTCTGTCTTGAGGTCGTATTCAAACATCTGACATATCTCAGACTCCTTATATTTTTGCGACGATCCAAATCTCAGCCGATCCCACACCTGCGATCCACCTCTATACTCGTCACGTCACCTAACTACACACGTCCTAATGA